AGTCGAATGAATATACTGTTGAGAATATTACTCATTTTGTTGTAACTCGATCTTGTTACTACAGAATTGAGCGATGTTTTTTACGATGAGAGCGTACCACAATTTTAGTAAAAACACTATTGTAACAGCAGCTATTAATGGTATCTCTAAAAGAGTAGTTCCCGCTCCATAACAAGGATGAATCTTTCCGCTTGGCCACTTTAGTTATCTTATTTTATTTGTTTTCACCATCTTTCTCTTGTTCAATAAGTGCTATATGGATAAGATAAATAGAAAACTGAAATGGAATATTTTTAGGTCATCTGTCTCTTCACAATGGTATTACTATCCCAGATTTTCGATTTGTCTCTTTGTTCTCTTGACTTTAGTCTAGGGGCTTGCAAAATAAATGCATGTCTGTGTGTATGTGTCTAAAATACGGAAAAACGGCTGTCATATATATCACGGAAAAGCCAATCTTAAGGAAGAAAAGTAGAAGCTTTTTTAAGCATACCAGACAAAAAAAGATAACGCTGGTCCGCACTCATTCGGTCTATAGACTTTGGGAACCTGTATCTGCGAACGACCTTCCGTGACTTTGAATAGAAGACAACGCTCACCACTCCCTTCGGTCGGCGTTTGCCAGGGACTATCTACAATATGTTATGAATATTTCTCTGACTTGATGTGTAAACTTCATAATGTATTACAAATCTATAAAAGTTTTCACGAGACTCCGCAAAGAACCCCAGAGGTCTAAAAATGTTTCAGAATTTGAGACAATGCTTATGCGTCCCTTCGGTCCGCGTTCGCACCCAGGATAGGTGTAAATGCTCTTCTCTGATTCCACAGAACACCCGCATGGATATACCCATGTGAATGTATGTCCGTCACACTCATTAGTCATTCTGTATACGGCCGTCCGTCACACTGCCACATCTTATGGATTGCTGTGATTCTCCCTTTTTCTCGAACTGATCTTATTTCAAGATATTGCTTTAATTCTTGAAAGTCGTTGATATTTATTAACGAGTCGTTAATAACGACTCAAGATTGTTCAACAAGATCTTCTCATTTAAACGCATCTTTGTGTCTGATCGAATATTCCTGTTGGAGACAGTACGCTTTGAATTCCGAATATTGTTGTTGTGATTTGATTCTCGTTTTCCAGATATTAATCTTCACGAAAGTAGAGTAAGATCGTAGATCAAACATAAACGAAGAAATTCCAGGTCGCACTTACATTTCTATAACTGAATCGATAACTTTTCACTTTGTCGAATTGTTGAAGACATTTATTGTCAAAAATGCTCTTCAGCATTTTAGAAGAAAATTTCCGGGAAAGATTAATTGTATAACTATTTCGTTTGATTGTCGATTAAATATCCTAAACGTTTTAAGAATTTCAAAAGTCTCTTTCTAACGGGTGATTCAAGATAAATTGCACTAAATTCTGATGCATTTTTCTCTCATTTTTCATCTATGAAAAATATGCCCTAATATACCAAAAGATAGAGAATTTCAAGTTCTACAAAACTGTTGAGTTTGTTTTTGAAATAAGTCTTTCTTGTTGGCGTAAAATTTAAAAGATGAACATCTACTTAATTGTCCAACTGCAACGGTGAAAAAAACGAAAAATCTGGAAATGTTTTTAAAATGAAGGTCCCGCTGAAATGTCAACTATCTCACGAAATTCTCCGTAAAATTTTGCATCTTTGGATCCATGTTTCAGAATTTTAGAAGAAATATTTTTGAAGAAACAGTTTTCGAGTAAAGTGCCGAAAAAAGTCCTTTTCTGATAGATCTATGCCATTGTTATTTATTAATTCGAAACAAGCTAAATGTTTTCACTGTTCAATCTAACACTTACATCGTTTTGTTCAGAATTAAATTCTACATAATAATAAATCTCTCGTAGAGCAAGTCTGGTTTTTGAAAACACGGTTTTCCAAAGTGAACTCAAAAATACTGACAGGTGTCAGTTCCAAGTCTTTTTCTTCTGAACACCAGCAACAGGAACATTGAAAAGATCGTGGAAGCATAGAGCACAAAATTCTCTATCTATTGGTGTTAAATAATTTACTTTTAGCATCGATCTTGATGAGCAAAAGCTTACACAAATCAATAAATGCCAGCAGAAAATAGGAAATCGCAGTTGAATGATTGATTAGACGTGAATCATTTTAATTTGGTGGCGATAAGAAAAATTTGTTTCAAAAACGAAGTCATCAGTTTTGTAGAGCTTGAAATTCTCTATCTTTTGGTATATTAGGGCATATTTTTCATAGATGAAAAATGAGAGAAAAATGTAGCAGAATTTAGTGCAATTTATCTTGGATCACCCGTTAGAATACCGTAATGTACAGAGTGGCAATAAAAAAAGAGTTTCTCTTGGTATTTTCCTGTCATTTTCACTAATGTTCAAAATCTATTCGTGTGTCTCTAACAAGTTCTTTCTGATGATTCTAGTAAGATGAGCAAGTGATTATATACTTAAGATCAGTGTTTTTGATTAGGCAGTGGAAACGGATGGAGATTCACTCCCTCGTTTAGATAAATATTCAGCTTTCACGTTTATTATCCATAAAAGTTTTAAGAAACAAAATACGGATTTTTCTCAGGCAGTTTTCGACAGTATTTCGAGAAAATATTCGCTTTCAAACTTGTGCCGAACGAGATAAATAATCCATCCGATAGACCTCTCCGAGCTCTATCCGATAGCATATCTTACAAGGATACATCTCAATGTCAATCGTACAAAATATATCAAAAAGATTCCTTACTACAGTACACATTTTCAAATATTCAGATATAAAAACTTTTTTAAAGACTAACAACCACAATTTCTTATGTAACTTGACAGGCTGAAAAAGAATTGTGCTAAGTTGTTCAAGTATCTTCACCTCACGTCCTTAGCGCGAAGCAATTAAATTTGTGAATTGTTTAGTGAAAAAAAGCTACACACACATTGTAAACCTTAGGAAGCAGAGATGGGCGAGTACACAGTTTTTCGAGTACGAGTATTTCATGGCAAGTATGAGTACGAGTGCAAGAAAATTTTACTCGATTACACGTTTTTAAAAAGAGAGAAAAGAAATTCTCCCGATTTTGTGACGAGTTATATAGATCAATCCCATTCTCTAGTTCTAATCTTCTTTTATTTAAACTACTAATATGCTTGAATATCAACATGAAAATCCACTCGACAAAATAAACAACTCAATCTAAATTTTTGTTGCACTTTAAAAATGTCAGCAAGCATAATGTTGACGAGGAAAGTGTTGCTCTATGTGGACGCGTTATGAATCCACTTCGAGAGAAGATTTTCTCTATTGGTGCTGACGTCGCAGGTACAGTAAAATATTTGAGGGCTAATTTAGCTAAACATGGAAACAACTGTTGTTTAATTAATATAAGATTATTGTCCAGTGCTTCTTCTTTTAGAAAACTATTCAACTCTTTCAAAATAGCCGAAGTTGTACCTGACATTCTTTTTGACGGATTTGTCATAGTCGATGATCTGCACGTTTTATCCGATAGTTTTACTAGCTAATGTGGAAGGTGGCGATTACTAAATTTGATGTATATAAAAACTTTCTCGATTATTTTGAGAACATTGTCATTTTAACATCGAAATTTGATGGACTGATTTTTTTAGTTGATTTTAAAGCGCATAATAATAGATGGATATCCAATAAATCACAATTTGTACTATTCTCGACAGTTGAGGGTGTGCAACTTTTTGATTTATTTGATACTCTAAATCTATCACAGTTAATGAGTGAGGCCACCAGACCACTTTCTCAGACTTGTCTCGACCTAATAATTGTGAATAAGCTAAATATGATACATTCGGTTGATGTTTTTGAGTCCTCTTTGTAGTAAATGTGATCAGTCTGTGGTTCAGTTCTTTTTTAATCATTCAGTGTATTATTCTTCTGTTTCAACAAGACGCACCATTTATAACTACAAAGCGGTTGATTGCAGATATTTCTCTTATATTCTGTCAAAACAACTTATAACTTATGCTAATATTCTGTATGGTGTCAGTAATGTAGACCTTTGATGTCAAACACTATCTAAATGTATTTTAAAGGCCACAGATCTAACTATTTCTTCAAAAGTTGTTTTGTTACGGGAACGAGATAAACCTTGGTTCACTGAAAGTCTTCAAACTCTTTATTTTAAACGAAATAAGCTATGTCAGAAATATAAAAAAATGATATCCTCCAATAAATCTGTGAACGTAAGCATAAGTTAGAGCTCTATCTTTCCGCAGCGAAACGCTTTTTTGATGCATATGTAAAAGTAAAAGAAAAATATTTTACCCGAATAAATAACATTGAGGTTAATAAAAAGACCTGGTGGAAAGTACTAAAGTCTAGCTTAGGTAGAAGAGCAATCTCTAGTATTCCAGGCCTAAAAAGTAAAAAACAAGAGTGGGTAAATGGCAATTTAGATAAAGCAGAGCTTCTGAATGAGCATTTCGCATCCATTTGTACCATTTCTCGCATTAATGATAATCTTCCTTATGTTTTTCCCCTCCCTAGCTCTAAAGTTAGTCTCGATCACATCCCTGTTTTAACTATGCACATCGCGCGTTGTTTTTTGCGCACTATATGAACATTTAACTAATAATAAACTTCTCAGCTCTATGCAAATCTGGCTTCTGTAAGAGATATAGCACAGTCACACAATTAATAGAGTTTATTCACGATATATATAAAGATCTTGAATATGGAAGAGACCTTTGAGACAGTAAGGATGGTATGGCGGTATTTCTCGATTTTTCCAAGGCGTCTGACATGGTATGACATCGTGCCCTTCTCTACAAATTGGAGAAGAAGGGAGTGTGGGGAAACTTACTGAAATGGTTCGAAAGTTACTTGTTTAACAGATCAATCCTCACTGTTGTTGGTTGTCAGGCTTCCACTCCACGCAAGATAAATCGAGGAGTGCCCGAAAGATCACTACTCAGCCCTATTTTATTTTTGATTTATATAGATGACTTTGGCGAGGACATGGATTGCACAATTAGGTTATTTGCGGATGATGCCACAATGTATCTGAGTGCTCAGGATCGACATCAATTAGTCGGTGATATGAATAGCGATCTGATAAAAGTGCGTAGATAGTCAGTAAAATGGCAGTTGCCTCTAAATATCGATAAATGTTTATGTATGCTATTTACAAGAAAGTCTTCTAATTTTATAATATATTTCGTTCTTCTTGACACAACAATATTAAACTCTGTCTTAGAACATAAACTTTTAGGTGTTATACTATCAAATGATCTTACCTGGAAAGCACATATAAAATACGTTTATACAAAATGTTCTAAAATATTGAATATGATGAAACCATTTAAATATAAATTTTTAACAGTGGTCTCAGACCAAATGTATAAGTCTTTTTTTATTCAAACAATAACCTACGCTGAGTATCTTTATACATCCACATTCGATAGTCACTTAACCCTTTACACCCGAAGACACTTTTATTATAGCTGCAGCTGAAATAACTACTGCATTGAAGCTTATAGTTCTTCGGTACATCCTTGTTATATCTGGACTTAAGTAATGTTGCTGTGCTGCGTGGATACATGATGTCCCTTGGAAGGGACATACGGGTGTAACGGCACGAATTTCGTTTTTGTTTTTTGTTTTTCCGAACTTCCTTTTTTAGTCTGGTATACTAACTAAGTATGAGTTTCTTTTCAATTCTTTACTCAGTGGAAAAATTTGATAGAAAGAAACATTCAGGCATATTTTTCTTTAATTTTTCCAAAAACGTCGTGCCCGAACGCATTTTTCAAATCAAGATGGCCCTAAGGGTGCTTCTAAACGAGCATTTTTGATGTTAATGGGAGAAAAGTATGTTCGGACATATCTTGCCTTTTAAAAAACTGAAGGTAGTTTAAACGCGTTTCAATGTTATGCAGTATTTTAAACGCACTTAGATGGACTTTTTATATCGATCAGAGAAAACACATTCACATTTGTCGGCGATGGCACAATAGTATTGGTTGCATCTTTTTTCTTCATTCACTGATCTTCAGATGTGTAGCGAGTGATCACAGAATGATCCACGCT